TCTGCATTTTTCTCCTTTACACAGCTGTAACTCCATATGGAGCTACCTTTACTCTGCCTTCTCACACCAGAACGTGTAAGTGCGTGCAGGGGGGCAATCTTTGCTGCCCATCACACCATCTCTAGCCCCCAGAGGGTGCCAGAGGATGCTGGCTCCAATAGTGTTATACACAGTGGTACCTCTGTGCATCAACACTTTTCTTTACAATTTGTTTCAAAAACAGAAGCGTATGGCAAATTTTCATTTTTGTTTGAAAGCTTGGCACCAAGTGACAAACATGACCACATCCATCTTTCCCAGACAAACACAAATGTGGCCATCTTTTCCAAAACTGTAGAACAAATTCAGTTCATGAACTGAGGTGCCACTGTTCTAGCTCATCGAGTGAGCAAATCATGAACAGACAAATCATGCAGAGCGGTGCTGGGCAAGGCCATTTGTCCCAGCCACCTACTCCCTGCCCTCCTCTGCCCTGTTCTGTGATCTGGGTCCATGCTCACCTCTCCAGGTGACACCAGGGGCTCCCTGTGGACACTGAAAACCAGCAAGGGATGGGATAGGAGAGCAGGCAAGTACTTTGTCCTCAGCCTGAGCTGCTGAGGCCACTGTGGGCTACTGCTCCTACTGGCTGGCCCTCCACACACACTCTCCTTGTCTCCAGGTTCCAATTGCTAGCTTCCTCCCCCCAACACACACACACACACGCACACACACACACACACACACACACACACCTTTTAGGCCCAGGAATGAAAACATCCTGTGTGTTAGGATCTCTGTAAGCATAAGCTGAGCACTTGCTGAGTGCTGGACATTCTCATAAACCCAGCAGATCCAATCAGAGTCAGATGCCAACCTTGAGCTCTAGTTCTGAGTCTGAGCCTGTAAGCTAGTAGGTAAATCTAGTGGGCAGTTTCCAAGTGAAATAAAGATGGGTCACAGGAAACAGAGACAGTACATGGTAGAAGAGCAAAGAGACTGCTGGGGAGAGAGCAGGTCCAGGACATTGGGAGTGGTGAGCACAGACTTCTCCCACAGACAGGAAGAGCTTCCAGGCAGGGAGCAGCAAGGACAGGAGACAGTGTGGGCAACAGCAGGCATGGCAGCGGCATCCAGCCAGGGTCTTGGGCTCGGTGGGTGGAAGGACTGTGAGAAGGGAGATTGGAGGGGAGATAAAGGCAGAGCTAGAGGCAGGAGCCAGAGACCACAAGGGACCCCACAGCATGGGAGGCTTTGAGCTGAGCATGACATCATCACATTTGGCTTTGATTTAACACAACTGTTAGATGACCTTAAAAACTTAATGGTGACTTGAGCCTCCTTTTATCTTCTGTGAGTCCAACTGTCTTCCAAACTTAGAAAAAAGAAAATGATATTTTTTTTTTGAAACAGAAATGTGCTTTGGTTTACATACATGGCATTGAAAAGAATTCATTTCATTCATTCATGAAAAAAAAGCAGGGAACTGTCAACGT